CAATAGGTCTATATAGTTTAGTCGAAGTAGGTGGCGGCTCTCCAAGCAGTGCATCATAAGGTAAGGTTCTCCTGTGTGTACAGTACCTCTCAGGCGTGCGCACCATCCTCCCGTGAACAACTGGAGGGCGTTTATCAACAAGGTGGGGGGGGGGGGGGGAAGTGCGGCGTTGAATTTGCGGACCTTCTTCATACTTATTGTTGCTTCAGATTCATTTTGTTTCACCTTTTGAACCACAGTTTCCCTAATAAACTTCATGCCCTCCCTTAGTATCAGGGTCAAGATTATAAGGTATAAGGGGGGAGAGTAAGAGGAATCCACCAGGTCCACTATCACCGCGTAAGTTTGATATATATACACACACACACACACACACACACACACACACACACACACAAACACACACACACACACACACACACACACACACACACACACACACACACACACACACACACACACACACATATACATACACACACACACACACACACACACACACACACACACATATATATATATATATATATATATATATATAATATATATATATATATATAAAGGAGTTAAGATATACTTACGATATCTAACATCCCTTCCCCAAAAGAGAAAAAATACGATGTCAGTGTGGGATGTGCACAGATGATTGGGCTTTCAACATATTCGTTTATATTCTATATGGTAATATATATATATATATATATATATATATATATATATATATATATATATATATATATATATGTATAAATGCATATATGTATATACATGCTTATATATGCTTATGCCCATGGTGTCAGCATTTGATTATGTTTATTTAGATACAAATAAACACCAAAAGCTGTGATGCTGGGTGGAGTCGAGAGGTACGTGTTTGTTTTAAACTTGATTCAGGCACTTTCCTTTTGGGTTGGAGTTATGTATTTATGATGTAGTTAGTATTCCATCATAATTATAAATGATTTTGAAACCCAGTGTTAGTCAGGTTAACAGGTTATAGACGGTTAAATGTGATTAAGAAAATAACTTTGGAGATGATTTCCTGTGTAATATTCAATAACTATCGATAAATCCTGTATTCGGTATCTGATGCTAATAACAGAGTTGAACTCTATCATACTATTAATAGATAATGAACACAATGATCATAATAAAGTGATGAAATTCTGTGATGAAACCCTCCATGACGAAATATATATAATAAATAAATATATATATTGACTCTGCGTTTAAAGATTTACACATGAGCATAATTATAGTCAATATATAAACAAAAAAAAATAGCATGATTTAAAAGACATTACAGGTTGTGAGACATATTTGATGAAATTTGCTTCCACGTTGAATTATGTAATAATAAAAACCCCAAAAAAATAAAAAAAATAAAAAAATAAAAAAATAAAAATAATAATAAAGCACATTTGGATTTACCATAGTCACCGCTGGGAAATGACGCCGCCGTTTTCTGTCTTTTCCGCACTTGCATTGCGTGGCGTCAGCGTCTCTTCGATCATGTCCTTTAGTAGAGATACTTTCTTTTCTTTTCTTTTAAGGTTACGCGTTTTTATCATTATTACTATGTACATATATACACACACATATATACATATACATATGTACATAAGCATATATATGTATGTATATATATATATGTATATATATATATATATATATATATATATATATATATATATATATATATATATATATATATATATATATATATATATACATATATATATATATATATATATATATATATATATATATATATATATATATATATATACATATATATATATTGTGGAAGTTCTTCAAACCTCGCTTCAGAGTCACAGCAGAATCCAGATGGGGTACCCAGATGATCTCCCTTTCCCCTGCGTAGGACATTTCTTTTACCGCTTTTAACCCCTACTCGCTTTTAGTTTAGTCTCCCTGTTTTTTAACTCCATTTTCTAAGTTGCGTTCATCACGTTTTCTGTGTTTTATTGCGTTCTCTTAGGTAATGATTGATGTCTTTTATTGTTTAAGTACTTAAAGTTTGCCTCCGTAGTATTTTATTTAATGTTTTTAATGATTTTGATCGTCATTTTAGATTAAGATTTATTTTACGTATTCTTATTTTAGCTTATTTTGTCGAATTGTAGATGAGCATGACGGGGTTTGTCCTCTTTATATTGTAAACTTGTCTTTTTATGATATGTATTTATAGTTTTATTTTATCATTTTACCGTGTAAATGTTTTTATTCATGTTTTATGTTATTGATATCGTCCTTTTAGCTTTTTGGCAATGTCAATGACGTCAGGACTTTTTTTTTTAGAAAGCTTTGTTTTTCAATGATTTTAATTATTTGTCTTAGCCCGTTTACATTTTTGTCATTCTCGTTTATTTTTCTATATTCTATGTAAATTTCACATTTTAATTATATTTATTTACGAAAAGATGAAAATGAAGGCAGTGACGTCACCAAGACGTCCGTGTATAAAGGAGACCTATCT